TAGTATCTATTCTTGTGCATATCTTGACAAGGATTTGACATACACTGGGAAAGTTTATTTTTACATTCTTGCCAAAACATGAATAATAGACTTGTCATCTTAATTTTGATTTGCTGTGGGATTCTCTTTGATATATTTATATCAAATTTATTCCATTTAAAAATACAAAGTACTGGCAACCTAACAAAGGTTTCTCAAAATATGAAAGAGTTTTGCTGGGGTTCATGTCAGTCATTTCCATAAGCTACGTTATTCATAGGGTACATAGATTATGATAGCATAGTATAATACATAGATTAAGTTGAATTATCCTCTCATAGCTTCTTGAAAGATCAGGTTTTACTCTGTTCAAGCAAAATAAGTACTAGTATTGGTTGTAGACTATGTTAGAAACCATAATAAAAGAGAAATTTAATTTAGAGCATTGTTGTCTACAGCAAATGCAGAAATATCCACCAGATAGCTTTTCCTTTTGCAGTAGTTTAAGCCAAACCAAAGACCACTGAAGGCAAAGGAAGCATCTTCCTTCATTTCAATGACCCTTGGAAACAAGGGTATAAAAAAATAGTATACAATAATAGTATTTATACAACACAGAAGATTTCTGGACATTATATTCATAGTTTTTAAAAAATTCTATTTATTATCCATCTCCCAGATAAGATATGATTCTTTATAACATGACATTTAAAAGTTACTGTAGGTAACAGACCCAAAATATTTTATAGAGAGTATTTATTCTTTGTTTCAAAACTGTGTTAGTATTAAAACAGATTAACAGTTCTGTTAAAGTTTTAAAAAATTCTAGTGGACTGATATTTAACACAAAACAGAGGACACAATTTAAATACAAATTCTAGCACCTTCAGATTTGATTTTCCTCCATACATCTCCAAATTAAGGTTTATTATGAGAGAAAGAAAGCTACGTGGGAAAAAAAATTGTTTTGCACATTGTTGAGGTCCTGATTTATCCTGGGAAAACTTGTTTTTTTCCCCAAACCATGGCATCAAACTGGCATCTACACTGTGTTTGTGGTGTGACGTACAATCACAAAAAAGTAACTGGTGATTATCACCACAGAAATTAAATAAAGAAAACGTTCTTAAGAACATGGTTGGTTAAATTTTCCACTTTGTTTGAAAGAATTGCAATTATGGGTTATCTAAAGTGGACACCAAATAACAGAGCAGCTCAAAAAATGCCCGCTCTGCCGTATGATTACTTCAGAATCAGTGAGTACATAAACATCAAACTTCAACATCGTTTCTCAGAGAGGAAATGGAACTAGCAAACAGAGAGTGTTGCACTTCAGAGTATTGACAAAGGCAGAGGATGGGCAATGAGTTGCCCTGCTGCTCCTAAGCTGCTCTAGAGAACTCTGGAAAACACAAATGCTTCAAAGTTCAGTAGGTTACAATATTTTTTACTTGGTTTGTAGCAGCAAGGTAATGTGAAACACTGCGGAAAATACCTGTAAAATTGGCAGGAGAAATAATGAACTAAAGCCAAATTCTGACCTGCAGGAAATGGATGCAGTTACACTGAATTCAGGGAAAGCCTATTTAATCGCACTGGGTCTGAATTAATTCATAAATCTTTGGCATTGATTTTGGTAGTAATGGTTTTGTTCTAGTTAATAATAGGATCAGATCCATGGATTCATATGAAATACTTTGGATGGCTTGAAAGGTATGGATCTAATTACTTCCTACAGTACCCATGGTTTAATTATTAAAGCAGAACGGCCTAACATGGATTTAACCCTTAGTTAAAAAGTCCTAATAAGTAAATTTACCATCGGTTTTCATCCAGGTTTATTGGAATGTAATATCCATGACTATCCCAAAAAGAAGACTTAACCCAGCTCATTTTAAATCAGAAGTTAAATAGTGGTAAAGTGAGCAAGCTGACCAGTTGCACAACAGCTGACCAGTGGCACGAGAGCAATGTAGACCTTTCATGTACTTGTGTGTGAAGAACAGAAAGTATAACAAAGAGGCAGAAAACCCACAATCCCTGGCTGTGACCTTACAGTGCTTGAATTGGCTCCACATTTTAGACAGCATCTTCTCTGCCTCTTTCATTTCTTAGGAGTCAGAAACATCTCTGAGCCAGATGAATGTACCTCTGTGCTGTCTCCATGCTGGAAGTGGACCAAGTTCTTCCCAAAAAAGCCCTTAAACCATCTGTATTGCCTCCCTTGTATGAGCACATTCAGGCTGTCCCCATGATTGCTAAATCACAGACCCACTAAACTACACAACACCCCAGGTTGGGAGGTGCCTCAGAAGATCATCTGGTCCAACCTTTTGGTTGAAAGAAAACCTAGACAAAATGCTCTAGCACTCTGTCCAGTTACATCTTGGAAACCTCCAGTGATAGGGGCTCCTCCACATCTCTGGGGAGTCTGTTCTCACTGCAAAAAAAGTCTGTATTCTGTTGAAATGGAACATCTCCTGATGCCACTTGCACTTCTTGCTCTTTGTGTTCTCCGTGTAACTCCTTGTGAAGAGAGTCTCCGTTGTCCTTGTAGATGTCTCTTAAATACTGCAAAACTGTAACGGTCTCCCCTGACACTTCTCTTCTATGGGTGGAAGAGACTTAACTACTTCAAGTCTTTCCTCATAGGACAGGTTCTGCAACTCTTTTATCATATTGAGAGCCCTCCTTTGGACCCTCTCCTGTCTTCCTGTGTCATTCTTGAATTTTGGGGACCCGAACTGGACATAATACTCCAGGTGTGGCCTGACAGGCACTGAATAGATTGGGATTATTGCATCTCTCTCTCTCTCTGCTCGTAATGACCCTACGGATACAGCCCAGAATCTCAGTGATGCTGATGAGAATAAAATACAGATTATGAAAAAGTGACAAAATATGTTGTTGTACTCTCTCAGTAACAAGCTAAGAGTGAAATAGCTGTAGAAAATTATTTTCTAACTTGTGGAAGGATTGATCATGCTGTCTTTCTTGCTGCTAGAAATGGTTATATATAAAATATTGGCTTAAGTAGAAATTTCAATCAACTCCTTCAATTTTCTGTATTAACAAGGCAATTTACTGTTTTTCTGTTCCCTGCAAGAATGTTGTCATAGTAATTACAATTCTTCATTAATAAAATTTACCTGGAAACGACAACAAATGACACAGTCGTGGTATGACATTGGTGAGAGCATTAGTGTACTTTTTCTCCCTTTTATATGACTATTTGAAAAGAAATATTTTTTGTGTTCTGACAAAATATTTTGAAGCCTGCTAAAGATTTGTAGATTAACAATAGGGAAACATAAAACAAAATCACAGGAAGAGTGATTATTTTATTGTGGGAAAGGATAACAAATTATTTTCCTGTAAGTTTTCAATATATCGTGGAGAACATATATTTGCGTTTACTTAAATTTCAATTTAAATTCACACTTGCCTACATTATACTATCTATTATTCATTAAAGCAGGATTTCTTTTGAAAGGCCACTGGTAGAGAACAATCCAGTTTTCCAGCAAAATCCAGTTTTCCAGCAAAATCTGGCTTTGCAAATTCATTATATCCTGATGTTTCTACTGCTCCCTTCTCCAGTGGTATACCTAACCATTACACAAGAACTGATTTCCTGGTCCTGTCAAACATAAATCAAAGCAGAACATCAATTTTCTGAAGGTATTTCAGCAATTGGACTGCAAATGTTGACCATTGTGTTACTGGTGTTAGATTCCTGCACAGTAATACACTATTTCTTAATTAAACAATTGCAGAATAGTCTGATAGGAAATGGCACATGCGGACATCCATCAAAGTTGTTTGATATTTGGATCCAACTGACACAAAAATGTAATATAATTTGAAGTATTCCTGATGCTTTATGTCTAGCTGGTATAAATTCACCAAAGCAAACATATAAGCATGACAGCTGGATACTTTTCTTACCTGTTTTGACAATCACATTATTGTTCCAGTGGAATTACATACCTTCAAGCTGTCAGTGTGTGATGTGTGTCAGTTGCAGCACTCCTTTGCAGGACCAAATTAAATTTAAAAATAATAACCTACCAAAGATTCGACTGTCAAGTTTTGACAGTGTTCTCCCCTCAGTTCTTTCTCTTTTTTTATCACTCAGAATTCACAAATACACCCTACGTGCTTCTTGACAAGCCCTTTGTTTTCAATGAACCTCAAATTAGTGCTTGTGTAAGTTTTCACTTAAAAAAACTAAACCCATTAAATCTTATTACACAATACCCATACAGACCTTTCTTTCTCCAATTTAATCACTATTTTTGGACTTGCTGTAAAAAAAACGACACTCTGTGATCAAATTAAAAGTGCCCTCTATTTCACAGGTTACTTCTTCAATTGAGACATCATTTCTTTAAATTGAGTGTAAGACATAGCATTACAATTTAATTATTAGATGAGCCTGCCCAAATCAGACTAATTTTAAGATTTTCTTGAGTAACTGGCAAGTCAAATTAATATCTAAAAGAAACTTTTCCAGTGGTAGTTATTTTAAAGACAAATCCACGATAAGATTTACTACTTCTTACTTCTTCCAAGTCAGAAGATAAAGTGGTAAACTTACAATAATATTCCAGTATGGTTACAGTTGGGATTACTCTTTTATGGAATAAGGATGTATTTTGCTGTTAGAACAGAACAGCATTAGATGTACGTAAGGATGTTAAGCATGTGAGATGTAGAAAAAGTCATTACTGCTTCAAGATAAGTGTCCACAAAGGGTGTAAGGATTGTAATGGTATCAATTCTTTCTTGACCTTCTAATCTGCATACCTACCTGCACACCAACATGAAGTCAGCCACGAAAGACAAATAGGAGTGTGATGCTGTGGTCTCCTTAGGACAGTGAATTGCATTTTCTTGAGTATGTGACTGAAAGAAAACTGAAGATGTTTCCAAGCTTCTCTGTTAATAAAGTGCCTTTAGGTAGGCTTTTATCACAACACAACTGAAGTCTGATCTTTCATGACCTTTTATCCTCTTAGGTTACTTCCTGACCTTTTTGGAACCAGTAAACAATATCACTGTAGTCCAGGGGCAAACAGCAATCCTCCACTGCAAGGTAGCAGGAAATCCATCTCCAAACGTCAGATGGCTAAAAAACGATGCTCCAGTGGTTCAGGAGCCAAGACGGATCATCATCAGAAAAACAGATTATGGTTCACGACTGAGAATCCAGGATCTGGATACCACAGACACGGGATACTACCAGTGCGTGGCTTCAAATGGCATGAAGACAATAACTGCAACAGGAGTGTTGTTTGTCAGGCTTGGTGAGTTCCTGGCTTTCATAATTACTCAGTCTGCTTTATAGACTAGGTATTAGTTTTCACAATAGCATAAGGAGAAATTAATTTGATGTTTTAAGAAGAATTCTCAACACAAAAGGAAATAAATAAATTGATGGCCTGGTGCCTCTCTCCTAGCACAGAACTTCTTGGTTGAACTTGATGCCCCTTTACTTGGTAATAAAAGAAAGTAATTACAGATGTAAAGGTCTGTAAATACATAGTGAATAAAAAAAAATTGAAGAAGTGCACATATAAAATACGAAATGGTAACATTTCATTACCTGGAGTTTTCACTCTACTACTTAACTCAGTCTGTAAAAAAAAAAAGTACTGAAGGGAAGGAAGAGAAGCAGTTTTCTATTTGATGTTCACAGTGCTGGGCCCATCCTTGTGAAATATCACTTCTGTACAGCCTGGCCTCCAGTTCTGTCCTTCAACAGGTGAAGTTACACCACACCTGTCAAGAAGTACTTCTGTTGCATTTTTGAGACTTAATCATCCAGCCCAAAAGCCAAGCTTTTATTTAGTTTGCCTCTGGAGCAATGGGAAAAAAATTTTCAGATAAATTTTTCTAAAAATTTATTCTAACTTTGTAATGTAAATAGTTAACTCCACGGTTTAGTTTGTAGTGATTCCCTAAATGCTGGGTATTGAACCTTGTTCCTGCTGTGATAAAAATTGTGTATCCCCTTGCCACACCATAAACTCTGAGAGTAAGCCTGAGGTAAGGCTTGTTAAAAGGTAAGTGATGTGTCAAGATAACACTTTGTCTTTTTAACAGCCTGTGTTTTTATGGTGAAAGATATTTTCTAAAAATATTAGGTCCACTGAAGTTGCTTCCTGAGCAGACAGTAGATTCATCTGATTTTTATTTGTGGCCTTGAAAATAGCAATATATAATTATGTGCAGGAATGCAGAGGGTTTTGTTTGAATCTTGAGACAAACTTTCCTTAAAGAGACAGTTTCCTTCAGATTGTTATTGACTTTTTTTATGATGTTGTCCTTGGGCTGAACTTGTCAGCAATGCTTGTTTGTTTTATGTTTACAGGTCCAACAAACAGCCCGAATCATAATCTTCAGTAAGTACTCTTTGGAAAATTACTTAATGCTCTCTGACCACTTTTGTTCTGTAAGAGTTTAGTTCATAAACTCTGTAAACACTACCTTCAACGACAGTGTTCTTGCTAAAATTAGCTAATTTAATCAAAAACTCACAGAATGGAAGAACCTTTTTCAGACAGAGGTAGCGTTGTGTTACAGTGGGTTTTGATTTGATTGAGTTTTCTTGAGAAACTTCTACTTGCTTATTTCATGTTTTGGACAAGCAAAATACCACAAAGTCACAATGTTTGAACAGTAATTGTTTACAGGGCAAGTATGGGCTAGAAGAGTGGTTAAAAATGAATGGGTAAAATGCTTGGGTTGCTGTGGTTGTAAATTTACCCATGTTTTATACTCTTATAACTTGAAAAGTCCGGTAAAACAAGACTAGAATCCTGTCTCTGAGTAGCTAAGTAAACCCCCTGTTTTTGGTGTCATTTTGACTTGAGTGATTTGGTTTGGTGATTTCTCTAAGACTCTTGAGCTCAGTTGCTGATCCAGTTGTAAGAATGAAAATAGAACCATAGAATGGTCTGGATTGCAAGGTACCTCAAAGATCATCTAGTTTCAACCCTCCTGCCTTGGACAGGGACACCTTCCACTAGATCAGGTTGCTCAAAGCCCCATCCAGTATGGCCTTGAACACTTCCAGGGATGGGGTATCCACAGCTCATCCAGGCAACCTGTTCCAGTGCGGAGTAAAGAATTTCTTCCTAACACCTAAGCTAAACCTGCCCTCTTCTAGCTAAAAGTCATTGCACCTTGTCCTGCACTATCTATCAGTATAAGAAGTCCCTCTCCTTCCTTTCCATAAGAACCCTTTAAGTACTGGAAGGCTGCACAGGATCTCCACAAAGCCTTCTCTGTTCTCTAGGCCGAACAACTCCAGCAGCCTCAGCCCATCTCCATCCCTCTGATCATCTTCATGGCCCTCCTCTGGAACCACTCTGACAGACCCACATCATTCTTGTGCTGAGGACTCCAGAGCTGAATGCAGCACTCTGGGAGGGGTCTCATGAGGGCAGATAGAGGGGAAGAATCACTTCCCTTGATCTGCTGGCCATGCTGCTTTTGATGCAGCCCAAGATGTAGTTGGCCTTCCACGCTGTGTGTGCACACTATTGACTCGTATCCAACTTCTCATCCACGAAAACCCCAAAGTCCTTCTCCACAGGACTTCTCTCAATGACTTCTTCTCCCAGTCAGTACTCATGTCTAGGATTGTCCCAACCCAGCTGCAGAACCTTGCACTTGGACTTACAGAACTTTATGAAGTTTTCATGGGCCCACTTCTCAAGTTTGTCCGAGATGTCATCCCATTGTTCTGTTGTGTCAACTGCTCAATTTTGCATCATCTACAGACTTGCTGAGGCTGCACTCAGTCCCACTGTCTGTGTCACTGATGAAGACATTGAAGAGCAGTGGTCCCAAGACAAAGCCCTGAGGGACTCCTCTCATCACTGGCCTCCATCTGGACACAGAACCGTTGACCAGAAATCTATAGTTGCATCCATCTATCAGTTCCTTATCCACTGAATAGTCCATCAAATACATGTCTCTCCAATTTGCAGATAAGGATGTCATGTGGGATGATATCAAGCCTACAGAAGTCTGGATAGATGGCATCTATTGGTCTTCTCTTGTCGACCATTGCCATCACTCCATCATAGGCCACCAGACTGGTCAGACATAATTTGCCCTCAGTAAAGCCATGCCGACTGTCTCAGATCACCTCCTTGTCTTTTATGTGCCTTAGCATATCTTCTAGGAGGATCTGCTCCATGATCTTCCCAGGCACAGAGGTGAGGCTCACCCCTCTGTAGTTCTCCAGATCTTCCTTTCTTCTCTTTCTGAAAATGGGAATGGCATTTCCTTTTTCCGTTCACCAGTGACTTTGCCTGACCACCGTGACTTTTCAAATATGATGAAGAGTAGTTTGGCAACAACATCAGCCAGTTCCCTCAGAGCCTTTGGATGCATGTCATCAGGTCCCATAGGCTTGTGGATATTCAGCTTCATCAAGTGGTCCCGAACCTCCTCTTTGCTTACAGTAGGTGGGACACTTCTCCCACACTCACCAAGATGATCAAGGACTTGAGACAAGCAGGAAGCCTGACTGAGATAAAAAACTCATTGAGTATCTCACCCTGCTCCTTATCAGTCACCACCAGTTCATCCTTCCTTGCTACTGGAAGAATCGAGGAAATCACTACCTGTGCTCCTGATCTCTCTTCCAATTTTCCTGGACTCTGAAGTCTCTTGATTGCCCTCGGACTTCTCTTTGTTATTTCATTGCTGCCAGTTTGAACAGCCAATAGTGCAAAGTAGTCAGAGGGCCCTGTTAGACTGAGAGTTTTCCAGTAACATCCCTCACCCGAGCCCCTGGCAGACAGCAGACTGCCCTGTGAGTTGAGTCCAGTCTGCTTATCAGACCCTCCATTCCCCTTAGAAGGGAATCTGCTGTTACAACTACCCTTCTTTTCCTCTTAGAGGAGGTCTTGTACAGCTGGTGTTGTTTTAGGAGGCCCCAGTACCTCAGAAGGACCTTCACCCACCTCATCAGTTGTCTGGCTCTCTACTTCCAGAGCCTCATACCTGTTGTAGAAGGTTCCAGTCCTACCTGTCATTTTGAGGAGGAGGAACCTTCCATCTGGCACATGCAGTGACCCCCTTCCAGCCTTCATCTTTAACAGACCCTTGATTGACAGCCCTTTGACTAATTTCCCTGCAGGGTTCCGAGCCCAGCTGCTTCTCCACTACATGCCTCTCTCTCCTACACGCTTTTGTTATTAATATTGTTGCTGTTACTCTTGGTTTTCTTATCTCATTGCTGTTTCCAGAAAATTGTTCTCATCTCAGCCTGTGCTCTTTACCCCTTGTGCTTCAAGTTCTCCTCTCCAGCCCCCTGCAGGGGGAGGGGGAGGAGGGACCATCCTTTGCAGTGGTTTCAGTGGGAACACTAGATTGGAGAATACAATTCCTAAAGCATGATACAATATGATAGAGATTTAACTAGTTTTCGTATTTTCTTATAATTGATTGAAATTAGCTGTTCATGACAGAGTACACAAAAAAATATGTAATCACTTTTGTAACACTAAAATACTGCTTCAGATCTTATATCACTTTAGAAAACTGTTATGCACCTGCTCTACAAAAGAGAAAATTAGTGAGATGCCAGGAAGCTGTCTGATCTTTTATGAGATCAGAAGGCAGAGACTGGTACAAGAGGCAGCAAAATGAAATAACTCGTAATGAAGCTCTGAATATAAGTTCAAAGATCAGTCCTCAAATGTGACTGAAGCATAGTTAGCTTTGAGCACAAGGTGTAAAACTGGGAACCACGTTTTAAATTTATTTATTTTTTGTTATAGAGTAAGTGATTAATCTGATTTCTCTTGGTTTCCCTAGTATTTTCCAAATGCTTTGCCTGTACTGAGGATGAACTTACTAATATTTTACAAGTATCAACATAAATAAAACATTTCAAGTAATACAGTGAAAAAAATTAAATTCCTACTTATGTGACATGTAGTTCTTAGTTATATGCTCTCTCTTATGTGGAAGTGAATTAGGGTTCCCAAGCATTCTTTCATCCTGGTTTTGCCTAGGTTTTGAATGCTTTACTATTCAACATTTGCTGGTTTTGAACCTGAAATTAAAACAAAGAAAGAAATAACTCAAAAAGGAAAAAAGATCTGTCATTTGACTTATGAAACTTCACAATGGGTCTTGTACCATTGGTATTGGTGCTGGACTTGGAAGCAGTAGTGTGCCATCATTGTTTTGGACCTGCCATTAAAAGGTGAAGTGAGGTAGATTGTAATCTACTGCTGGTGGATTATTTTCTTTTTAATATCCACTAGATTGAAGAGGAAGCTGAAACTTCAGAAGAACAAGGTCAGGTCAAAGGTCTAGTGGGAAGTCATGAGGGACTTATCGTAGGAGGTCCCGGAGTTTTGGGCATTACAGATCTTTGCTTCATTGCATGACTATTTCGGTTTCAATTTTTTTTCCCGTTTCCTGCTTAATCAGGTTTTACCCACCTTTCCAAAGTTCCTATCTTTCTTCTGATGCTGTCTTTTTTTTTTTTTTAATTATCTTTTCACAGTTATTCCAGGTGTTCCTCTGCTCCATGCCTCCTAAGTCCTTCAAATAAAATGCCGTGTTTTGGCAGTATAACTGTTTTCTTCTTGGAAACTGTGATTTTTTATTTTTTTTTTTGACTGAATATTTTGCATAAAGACACGTGGGTCATTTTGTGAGCCAGAAAAAGGCAAAAGAATATCTAACTGCTTGGAAAGAGCTCTTAGGGAACAAAGGACTCTTTCTGTTTGCTGTCTGCACGGCGCAGTCTCGCGTTGAGCCGCATGAGAGCTGTTACTGCTGGTAGTAATGCTTCAAAAAAGACATGCTTCAGTGGGAACACCGAAACATAAAACCATTGCAACTCGGTTTAAAACTACACCTAGTGAATTTTTAAGGGGTAAGAAGCATTACCTATGTAGATACCATCTAGCAAGGTATTTTTACGCAGTCCGTGCTGTGGATTTCTAGAAATTATCTACAATTAAAGATTGACAGAGATCAAACGTGTGTTATGCAGTCAGACCTGCCAGTGCAAAAAAAGGGTTTTGACCTTCAGGGTACTGAAGTTGAGATGTTTTCACAAAAACCTGAAAGTAATAGTTTTCAACCAAATATTTAGTCTTCAACTGCTGTGGATTTTTTTGAGAGATCTTTATTTTCTGTTAAGGCCCATATGTGTAAAAATTTCTAGGGATTTTTCTGTAGAAATAGAAAAATAAAATCTATCGAAATTATTTATCAAAACTATTAAAATTATCAAAACTACTAGTAACTGGTACAAATTAACTTACAAAGGAAATAAAATCAAAACACAGTAAAAAAAATAGTCTCTGACTAGCATTTGCTGTCCAGAGGACTGTGCTATTAGAGGACCCTTTTACTAGAATAC